AAGAACGCACCTTATCAGCAGAGACTCGAAGGTCTTCTTGTGCTTGAGTTAAGCTTTGCACGAGCTCCCCAGCGTAAACTTCTTTTTGACTCAAAAGAGACTTTAACTCTTTGTTCTCTTCACTGGCCTTAGATAGTTGCTCTGAGAAGGAGGATTCGAGACGTTCTTTTTCTGCTTGGCTTGAGGAAGCTTTTACAACCGCTAACTCTAAAGTTAAAGCCTACACCTACTGCTCTAAGGTACTCTTGCTCTCTTGTAAATCTTCCATATCAATTTGTGCACTGTCAAATTGTTCCTTCCAATTGATCGCCTCCAACTGAGAATCATGTGCTATCTTCTCTGAATCACGTGCTACCTTCTCCAAGAGGGGGATTCTATTTATCATTTCTGTTCCGATAAGATTGGCCTAAAAAGGGAAGGGAAATAAGAATCCCAAAGATAAATTTTTTTTACAAAGTAAAGAAGGGAGAGAAGGAAAATACCTTCAAAGTGGCATGCACGATATCATTATTAGAGTCAGGGAACTATGACTCTCCAGTTTTGCTTTTTCAATTGGGCCAATTAAAGGCTCCAGCCATACATCTGCCTGATCTGACTTCCTCAAAAGGCTGCTATCAGCACGAACTTCAATAGTTACCCTCCTCATAGCGACACTTCTACTTGAAGATCCCACTTCCGTATGATGAACGATAGGAGGGGGAATTGTCAAAGGAGGAGCGGTAGAAGAAGTGAAAACAATAGAAGAAGGAACAGAAACAGCTGGCGCTGGTAAAGAAGGAATCACAGGCACGAGAGTTGAAAAAGAAGATAAGGGTATTTCATCTAAAACAGGCCCTAAACTTCCACTACCAAAACCACTAATGAAAATTTGATCAATAGACTCACGGGTATCATGAGGAGTGACGTCATCATCAGGAATTATTACTGGGGTTTCAACAGGTTCGGTAAGAGAAACAGGAAGACGAGGGGAAACTTCAGCTTCGTCATCAGAGACGATGCGTCTCCTAGCTCGTGGCCTCGTCACCAGGGAGCCCCCATCTTCCTTTTCTTCAGAGTCTTCCTCTTCAACAGCTTTCCTTTTCGCAGAAGAAGAACCCAAGACTATTTCTCGGGCTCTTTCTAAAGAGATACGGGTCCCCGAAGGAGTACGGGTTCCCGAAGAGACATGAGAGGCCGCAACTGCTTCAGCAGTAACTCCTCGAATTGCAAATCCTATTAAAAAGAAGGATGGGAGTTAGAGCAATAAAGAAAAAAATATATATATATGCGTGAAAGATGAAATAAAAACTCTTACCATGAGTCTTTACTTTCCAACCGTAACGGTTAGAAAGTGTTCTCCAAGACCTACTATCTATTGGTGCGGTCTTCAGCAATTTATCTACCCAACCACGTAAATTGGGAATATCCTCCACAACTCTCATGGTTGCTAAAAAATGGCAAAATTAGAGAAGTTGATAAACTTGAAGAAAAAAGGCACGAGAAGGATAAAAGACTTATATGCAAAATTCCACTTCTCAGGGAAGGGAATGTTATCCTCACCCACTAAGGGGACAGCAACAAACCGGGCATACCAGCCACGGTCCTTGCCATTTTCAGGGCTCACCAAAACCCTCTTACTCCTGGCCACTAGGGTAAAAACGCCATTACGAAAAAGCCTAGGGGAGTAAAGATGAATCAAGTGAGGGAAAGTAAAGGAAACGTCAGTCATATTGGTTAAATGCCTCAAACAGGCAACAACGCTCCATATGATTGGGCCAATTTGACCCAAACAAATATTAAAGAAACAGCAAAATTCAAGAATAACTGGGTCAACAACTGGTTTGAACCCTAAAGTGAAAGGGTATGTATAAACAAAAGAGAACCCAGTCAAGTAAGAAGTAATTCTCTGATTTGGATTAGGGATACTAATGGAAAAATCATTACTCCAATGGCAGTCTTTGCAAACTACAGGAGTCAAAACTTCTATAATTTGAGTGGGGTAAGCATCAACACGATCTAAAGCGGAAACCTAGTTTCTAAGAGATTCCCTATCATGGTAAAAAGATAGTTCTGTAGAGACTATCTCCTCTACTAAAGTCTCACGTAATGGTTCAGAAGGTTCTTTACCCCTAGAAGAAGATTTGTGAGAAAGGGAACCTCTGGTTCTAGAAGAAGGACCAGAACTAGGAGAAGGTATAGACAAACCATCACCACGAGTAGACACTAAGCTACGAAGCCTACCTCCCCTTCTATGCCTAATGGGGGCATTGGGGAAGGTATCAACAATGGGAACTCTCGTAGGGTTAGGGTTTGGTGTAGACATGGCGAAGAAGAATAATGTGAGGAAGAAGTGAACTGAGATTTGAGGAATTAAGTGTTCAATAAGCTTTATGTGGTAAAAGACAAGGAAAGAAGTTATATTTATATTAATAAGTAACCGCCAAAGGTAAAAGTGCAGTGATGGAAGGACCATAATAATGATAACTGACACTTCATGAATAGTGGAGCCGTAAAAAAGCCTTGAAAAGGGCTGCAAAACTACAGAACCAATGGAAAAATGACACGTGTGCGGAGCATTAAATGGAAGCGACAATTAAAGCGTCAATTTTGTCATAGCATTAATGGTGACAGAAATTCTCTTTTAATGAAATCCACTTCCTAAATATTCAACTGATGAATAAATGGAAAGTGGGGGGACTATCTGTATTGGGAAAAATTGTATTTAAATATAAAGGTGACATGTCGAGACACGTAGCTGGTCAAATGGTCAAAGAATTACAACTAGCTAAGAGGCACGAGTTGCAACAGATACGAGCAAATGACAGAGGAAGAGGCACGGACAGTTATTCAAATAACTCAGCGCCCATACCTATCTAAGTCATTTATGTCCGAGAATCAAAAGGAATGAATCTGACAATAGAAAAGAGTGCAGATACGGCATTTAATAGGCATTAAATGTGGAATACATTAGAGAATTTGTATTGAATATAATGATTATGTAACATAACATTCAATGTCTTTAATTACTCATAATAGCCTCATTATGATTTCGGCAAAACGTATATCTCCAAGATATCTATAAAAGGGAGATATTTGATCAATTGTAAGGACACGAAACGCTATTGGAATAAACTTTGGTTTACTTGTTTTTCTCTTGATTAGTCTCTTGCTACCTAAATTACTTCCTTTTATACATTCTTTTGATTATCTGTAATCAAACACAATCGCTACTCTGAGGTCTCTAGTATCCACTCACTTGCCTTCTTTTCGCGCTTTGACATGTTCTTTTGAAGATTATCATCAAGTTCCTCCACTCTTAATATTTCTCCAGCACCTCCATCTTATGTGTTTTTGATTTCACAGAATTAAATATATTCAGCTGTCTACACTTTATCCATTATTGGATGATGTGATATAGCGAATATGTAATTGCTTGGAACAAAAATGCAAATTTATGCGCTGATTTGCTGAAACTACTGGATCCTTTTGCTTTCTCAATCAAATATTGTTGATTTAGAGGGTTTTCATATTGGCTTAAGAGCTTAAATTCGACCAATCTGAATGGGCTGTTAGTTGAAAGGTTCAAATTTACTATCATTATGATAAAATTACCTTTCTACTTTATTCATACTTTAGCTTATGTGCTTTTATCCTTTCTTGCTTGCTTAAATTCTAAGTACAATTGACATATGCCAAATAAATTATGTCGATAGAGTTACGTTTTACTTTTTTATGAGTTAAATAATCATTTCATTGATAATAATTCTTGAATATTGCAACAAAACACAATCAACTTTAAGAAGACAATTACGCCAAGGTACAATTAATATTGATGTGGCTGAAGGATATAGAGGAGATCAAAAGTTGATCAAAGGATGTCTCTTGTGACGTTGTCTATTGGAGAAATCAAATATACACCAAAATACAATTAATACGATGATAACTAGAAGACCAGAGGTGGAATAACATGAGAATGCTATCTTTTGGTAAATTTAAATTAGTAATTTATAAGCAAATCAAATATATGTATATATATATATATATATATATATATATATATATATATATATATATATATATACATACATATTCTATAAAACAATAATATATAATATCATGTACGTGTAAAGACACTAGTAGAATGGTGGGGTTTTTGATTGTACCACTGTTGGGAGTCTAAATTTTTAGCACAAGGAAGAAATGGAATAAAAATCGCTATGGTTTGGCAAATTGCTGCAAAAATCCTAGTTCTTGGAAGATGAGTTATGAGTGGGAATGCCCAAGTTTCGCTTTCTTAGTTTGGGAGGCTTCTGCTGAGTTGACAGAGTACGGGCGGGTAAACGAGGAAAATGGAAGGAAATGAAAATGTGAATTGATACTATCATGTGTGATTTCAGGGACCCTTTTCTTTGTGCTGGGTTCAGCTTCTTTGCTATACTTTGGGCAGTTAATTGGCTGCCATTGCGGATTTATAGCTTGATCTTTGCCCGAAATGGTCGGGATTTTTACAAGGACCCCAACTTGGAATCTTATGTAGTATCTTATTGGTGCCTGCATGGATAATTTGTGATCTCTCCGGTTATGGTGCTAGTTACATGGGGATGCTGGTTAATGTTGATATACTCGCCAATTTTGGTTGCACCATGGGCGCTCTAAAGACTTCCTTACTTACACAACTCCGCCACCTACAGTATAAACGGCTTTAGAGGAAGTTCGTTTAGGAATACTTTTTGTTAGACATATTATGCCTACTACTGAATGTTTCATGCGTAAACCTGATGCCTCTTTTAGTACAAACCATCTCAGGGAACTAGCTAGTTCTAGCTCCACCCCACTCACGTACCACGAGGTCGCCCCCGTAGTTCTTCTACTCTTGAAGGCCAATGTTGCGGTGTGTCTAGTTTAAACTTAGCTTCTTGTGCTATGCCATCGTAAACTTAATATAACTAATTTCTTTTGGACCCAAAAAAAATCGTGCAGCCACACTATTAATACCAAATAAATATCCTAGTGGCTAGTGGGGCTCCACATCACAATTACCAAATCCACTTTACTCCGATCCATATAAATACCCTCCCCCCAAATCCACTGCCCATACGCGGCGGACGTTACCATCGATTTTCCTAAAATCAACCATGGCAACTGGTTCTTCTTCTCGCCCTCCATCGAAACCCTACGATCTCGAAATCACCATCGTCTCCGCCAAGCACCTCAAAAATGTCAATTGGCATCACGGCGATCTCAAGCCCTATCTCATCTTTTGGGTCGACCCGGACAACCGGCGCGCCACTCAAGCTGATGATTCCGGTAATACCCGACCCGTTTGGAACGAGCGGTTCGTCCTCCATCTTCCCCAATCTCCTCACGATGCTGTCCTCACTCTCGAGGTATTCCATTCCAAACCCTCAGAAACTCCCAAACCTTTAGTCGGTACACTTAGGATTCCGTTGAAGGAGCTTGTTAACTTGGATGATCCGAACAAAATCAGAACTTTTGAGCTCCGACGACCCTCGGGTCGTCCTCACGGTAAGATCCGACTGAAGCTCGCTATTCGTGAATCTCCAAACCCCCAGGATTACCAAATACCCCCTCCTTCTAGCTACTATTACTCTACTGCCCCTCCGCCGCCGCCTACCTATAGATCATATTCTCCTTCTCCGTACTCCTCACACCCTCCTCCGCCGCCACCTGCTTCTCCATCTCCACCGCCTCCTCCGTCGCATTCCTATCCTTGCGGCAGCTACTCTGATCCGTACGCCAGTTACTACCCCGGGTACTACTCTCAGCCACCACCTCCTCCTCGACCATTCGTTGAGCGGCAATCTAGCTATGGTGGGGGGCTGGGGTCGAGACCGAGCGCTCCTGCTGATTATCCTCCTAATTATGATCAGAAGCGTAGTGGGAAGATGGGAATGGGCACCGGATTGGCAGTTGGAGCAGCGGCTGGTGCGCTCGGAGGATTGGCATTGGGGGAAGGGTTGAAGTACGAGGAACACAAGATTGCTGGGAGAGTTGAAAACAACATAGCCTCCAGGGATGATTACAGCAATTACAGTGTTGAATATTGATGAGGTTGCTGATGTTACTTACTGGATGAGGTTCTACAACTAATGGGTAATCTTTGTGTTGTTTTACTGTTTAATGGTGTATTTGTATATAAAGCTTGTTCATTTTCAATGAATTCCTGTCTTAATGATGGTTTGGAGATGAATTATGTTAATTCTCAGCTGCTTAGGGTTGTTGGGTCCTTGGAGTTTCTTCTATGAAGTACTCTACTGGTATATATGGAATTCTATTAAAGAATAAATTTACTTCTGAAAATTGGCCCAACTCTGGATGTCCTCGTAATAGTTTGATTCATCGATTGTTTGGTTATGTTTCAGTTTATTCTCTGAACTTTGTTTGTACTTGTTGGACCTGATTACATTTGAAGAACCATGTGTTCAAGGAAACGTGAATATTTCTTCCTGATAAGTTCATTATAAACAAGAATTTTTGGAGTTTATCAATCTTTAACTGTAGAGTTTCTGTAACTAGGCTGGATTGCATCTTCGAAGTAAATTAACTTTGGTGCGTTTAAGTTTTAGGAGTTCAGGCCTTCAGGGTACACTCTTTAATGAACCAGAGAGTGGAAAACTATTGATTTCTTATTGAATAGGTAAAAATAAAAAATTTGAGCTGTTTGCTTACTGCTGTGTCTGACATATCTTATTATTTCTTCATGTTCTTAGTTGTGATGATATTGTCTTGTATCCATCCAAGATATAAGCTATTTGGAGTTTTCCTTCCACTTGTCTTGTGTGGAAATGTTGTACATGAAGTTAATTGTATGTTCAGTAATAATATGAAATACTGTGTGTTTTACTATTCGCCTTTGTGCTTCGAAGGATTAATGATGTTTAAGTTGATATCTTATTGGTTGAGTATATTGAGTTTAGTGGTCATCTATGTTTGTATTGCTATTTACTAATAGGTGGAAGGTTCGATATTCGCCTGTCAGTCTGCCACTCTAAACTTAAACTTTAGTTGGTTTTTGAGAGGTTAATGGTAGGATTTACTACATAAGTATCAAAGACCTTCAAAGGATTAAATGTTTTTTAATTTGAGATTCCATGAGGTAGTTATTTACTAAGCTGTGTTGCCATTGACTAATAGGTTCTGTGTCATTTGGAAGTCCTCATTATGCATTCCACGCTACACCTTTTTTAACTTTAGTTTTTTTAAAAAAAAAATAATTGAGAGTGGTTTATGGTTAATGAAAGGATTTGCGGAATAAGGACCATCCATGATCTCTTGTTTGGGGAATGGAAGAAACCCTTTTTTTTTTTGATAGGTAACTATAATTTTATATCAGCAGCGCAAAGTTTATACTTGAACTATATTTACAGTACAAAACGCAAAAAGTTTTCCTGTTCTTACAAAGATCTTATGAGATCTACCAAAGATTCAACATTATCTAAGAATTCTTCTTTACACCAAAAATAAAGTATTAACATGCAGTTCATCTTGACTTTCTGTATAGAGTTAAAAGTTCCTTCGAAGCATCTAGTGTTTCTTTCCTTCCACACTGTCCCGAGTGTCCACTATACACAAGTAGGTACATTTGCCACCATCTTTTCTGTCTAGCAGCCTCTCCAGTATGCTCCAGCATTCCAACATCCCTTTTGTACTCTTTGGCATAACCCACTTCATTCGTTTCATTTTGAGATTTAAGTTCCCAAAGCTGATCAGTAATTTCACAATGCACAAAAAGATGATTTATGCTTTCTGAATCTTTATCACACAAAAAACTTTAGAACAAAAGCTGCATGGCTCTTCTCATCGAATCAAATTATCATGAGTCAAGCATGCTTCCTTTTGCTACTAACCAAGCAAAGTATGCCACCTAAAAAGATATCTTCACTTTTCATATCTTCTTCAAAGTTCGTTTGAGGCCCTAGTGCTCCCTGTGATTTCGTGATGAATATGCTGGTTCCCTGTGAGGAAGATGCAGTACAAGTCATTAACCCAAANCCCCCAACATTGCGTTTTGGAAACTAGTAGTTTTCCCTCAGTGTGTTTGATATAATCTAAATGGAAAAGGGCCAAAAACACCCCTATTGTTTGGTAAATGGTTTACTTCTACGCTCCGTCCACCTTTTGGTCCAAAAATATCCCCACCGTTATTTTATTGCTAAAATTACCCCCACGACTACCGGAAATTTATGTGGTCCCTTTTTTAATGTGTTGGTAGCACGTAATTGGGCCACGTGGCTCCCTGACCGAATTTAACCCGCTCCAAATTTAAATTTGCCCCAGTTAGACGACAAATATGGATAATATGCCCGTTCTACTCAATGACCCTCCCTTTTTTTTCCCGATAATAACCATTTAGAATCGAAACTTAGGTTCTGTCCATGTCTTTGTTCTAATCCTTCTCATGATTTTGGAGCTTGTTTTCACACGTTGGTAAGTCCAAAATTGAATTTTTTTATATGTTCTGCTTTTTTTATTTTCAATAAAGTAAATTTTTTTTAAAAAAAAAAAAAAATAAGATAAAGTTTTGATCTTTATGGTCTTTTAATGGTAAAAATTTGTATTTTTTAATAGTAGGATGTGGCTGGGGCAAATGGATTCTAAGATTGGGCTTGAGATGTTATATACAAAAATATACTATATATTAGTATGAGTGTTGTAGTTTTAAATCTAAAACGTAATTTTAAACACTGTCGAATGTCTGAAAACGCCATTGAAGGCCGATTGAGTTTTTGAGTATTGTCAATTTGAAGTTGCAGATCTATAAAGATGAAGAGCTTGGATCTGAAATTTTGAAGAGCTGACAACGTTTCATAGCTAAAAATCTTGAAACGTTATAGAATGAGCTAAAAACTCCATTGGAGGGTTCTTTTGGTGAAGCTTAAAAGCAATAATTTGATCTGGTGGTTGTTTGGTTTAATTGAGTAACGGGGTTTTGTTTTGATGATTGTTGAGGGATTGCAGTTAAATTCTCGGGTCAGTTGGTGAAGATTTGGGAGGTCTTTGTCAAAATTTTGGGCTGCAAAAAAACAAAGGGATTGTAGTTCAACAAGTCAGATAATGGTGCACTAATCCATGTAAAAGATAAGCAATTCAGTGGTTGAAGAATTGATGAACAATGTTTTAAAAGGCGGGGGCATGAAGCGAGACATTTTACCTCTAACGAGGCGAGGCGTAAGCCTTGAGACATGGGATGTAAGTCTCACGGATCTTTAAATTTTATAAATTTTAAGGATTTTAAGATAGTATAAAATAAAAAATAAATATAAAAATTACATTAAAATCACAAAATTATAACAAATAATCTATTTAAAATATTTATGAATTATAATTTAACGATGAATAATTCGAAAAGTATGACATTTATCATAAAATGCAAATTAGCTGCAACGTCGTTACAACTCAAACATCAAAAGTAATGTATTCGATACGAAATCTTATGCGTATCTCTTAAGGAGTATTGAATCTTGAAAGAATTTCGATATTATAATTTGATTTTTTTTTAAAAAATACCCCTTTTATTTAATATGCTTTTTATTTAAAAGAGAACTTATATAAAATCATAATTCACAATTTAAATATGATTCTCTAGCATTATTTATTTTAAGTTTCAACAACTTAATAAAGTGATACATAATTCACCATACAATAACATGATAACTAATTATTTTTAAATAGTTACTAGCTAATACTAAGCTATTAATTAATAAGTATTGTATCTCGTAAACGTAAAAAAATAATTATAAGACAATTATGGACTATTATATAATAAAGAATTAAAGTTAATAAAAAAATAATTTTTAATTGAAAGATTTATTTAAAATTTACTATCATAGCAATCTTAGTGGATAACGTGAATAACTTTTATTTTAATTATGACATAAAATACTCTCAACTTAATAGTTTATGACTAAGAAAAGTAATTTTGAATAGCCAATGATTTATTAAAAAAATTTGAGGATTTACAAGGTTAGTTACATACAATTGCATAAAGTTCTATTAGGCGAGCCCAATACACTGGGCGTTGGGCGTGTCTAAGGCATAAGCCCCGACAGCCGAGGCGTAAGTCTCACGGAAGTAACCCCACACATAAACCAAGAGGCGTTATATGAGTGCTCCGCCCTGGGGCGAGCCCCGGGCAAGTCCCAATTCTGTCTTTTAAAACAAAGTTGATGAAAACTCAAATGCTGGTGACCGACTTCGATAAGAGGCGGCAGGTCCTAGTTTAGTTGATGGGGGTGTTAAGGTTATTTTTTAATAACACCGGTAATAATTGGGCGGGTCATTTGATGGGGCAGGTGTATTACGCATATTTGTTGTAAGATGCCATCTGGACTAGATAGTAGATGCCAACATATTAAAATCATGTCTCACATATACTGCCCTTAAATTAAGGGGTAATTTTAGCAATAAAAATAACGGTAGGGATATTTTTGAACCGAAAGGTAAACGGAGCATAAAAGTAAACAATTTACCAATTGGTAGGGGTGTTTTTGGCTGTTTTCCGTAATCTAAATCATTGCTCTATGGCTAGTCTAACCCAAGATTTGACGTCATGTAGATCCAGAAATTGGATATCTGTTTACCGTGAAAATGGTAATAACAATTAAATTTGATTATGGGATTCTAAAAATACGTGATCTATTTTTATGCTAGTTGTTAAGCAGTGATGCTATGTATGTGAGACTTAGAAACGAAATGAGAGTTAAGGATAGGATGATAATCGAACCGATAGACTAATTATCGGGGCCTCGAGCTTGTCGATTCGGGGGCCTCAAGGTCGATTCCAGAGCTCGGCGGGGAGCTATCGAGGGGAGTTGAAGTATGACTAACAGTTGGAGTAAAATTAATGAAAGCTCTTTATGGCCAATGATAAGCAATAAATGATGAACAAATATGAAGATGATAAATAGAAGCAATAATATCAAGAGAGTGTTTCTTGTATATTTCGTGTGGAGTAGTTAAAGCAACGAAGCTTTACAAAATGACAAGGATCCCCTTTATATAGGAGGGGAATTCCAACATAGTACAAAATACATTAATTATAAAGATAAAGGGTTGTGACAGCTACATGACACCCTGATTCATGGCTAGGGTAGTCCACTAGGGTCTGTCAGTCCCATCCGCGTCCCCATTTCTATCACAATCGAGGTCAACATTGTCTTTAGGCCGAGCGTCGACGAACCTCGATGGAGGAAACTCGACCATAGCCTTGCAGCCTCGAGCCTTCGAGATGATCATCTAAGGTGCCTCGATAATGAGGAATTGGACCCTCCGATTTCACCATATACAGATAGTCCCCGCGTTTCTTAGAG